TCGGACTCTTATCCTCATCTTCATTGCCATATTCACAACGTTTCGGCCGTTGTACGCTCTGGGCCATATGCAATATGAACACTGGCAAAAAATTGTTGCTGAGACATTAGGTTTATAAGTCCCAAAAATTCATACGCAGATCTCCTCAAGGACACATGGATAAAGACGCTGGTTAAATCCAGTGACTAAACCCAAAGAGTTGTGAGTTCAAGTCCAGACCACAGGTGTGAACAAAAAATTGGAGAGTTGGGTTAACGGGAAATAACTGAGACATCCGGAAGAGGCATGACACGTGGAACTAGAACAATCTACCTCGTTGGACGAAATAAAGGGTTCGGTTCGAAATTCCAATCACCTGAAGAAGACCGGAGCATACAACGGCCGAAACGTTGTGAATATGGCAATGAAGATGAGGATAACAGTCCAAATAATGCAAGTAATACCTCATCTCAAAGATATAGACAGATATATAGTGAGACTTAAAGTCCAGAGCGTAATATGGCAATGAGGCTAACATAAATAATGCAAGTTGTTGTAACGTTGTGATAACGTTTGTAAATAATGAGGTTGTTACACTAGTTCTCAGTTTTTCAAATTATAGTGAAATCTTAGAAGTGACTTTGATCATCCGGAGTGTACCTAATCTTACGAACTAGTCCCACAATTCAAAGTCCCACAATTCAACGTGCTTTTATTAATGAAAGATTTAATTGTAGATTTTATCCGAAAGTGACTTTGACATTTACCGGGGAACAACAGAAATTAAGAGGTGGTTATACGCTCCTCAAAATCTCCAATCTCGCAATCAGAGGCCTTGCTGCCAAGTGTAGTTTATCGTCTTACCCAGGAAAAAAGATAACAAATAATGAAGAAAAGGATGTTGTCGTCTAGGTGTGTTTATACCACGTTCAAGAAAATCCCCAAACGAAATAAATTTTTCAACACCCACGAATCCAAACGATATGACTTTTATTTATCTCTTTAATTCTATTCTAAAAATTCAGAATTGGATTTCAAATTTTAAAATTCCGTCTTCGCAGTTACATTAAATTAACTTGGATAGTTTTAAAACTGCGTTGGTGGATAACATGTGTGGTACGAGTTATTTCCCTTACGTCGGCGGCGTAACAATTTTCTATTTGGAAAGAGAGAAGAAAAGAGAAAGTTACACTTCAATCAAAATGGCCGCCCACCTACGCATTATTTTGCATTTTATATTAATCGAACATTTTTCAGAAAGAAAATGATTTGAAAGGTAGATTTTAAAAATTTGGAAATAAGATATTAGGAAACAATAAACAGGAGGGAGAAGTTAATAGTTATTGTGTTATTTTAAAATCTGCAGTCAATTTAAAGGTTTATCGAATAATAGTAATCTTTCGAAATGTCAGTGTTAGTGAAAAAAATCGTATAATGTAATTTACTAATAAAATAACTGCTAAGCCTTTTTATCATCCTTGTTCCTAACGAACCGGTTTTGTTTTGATTTGTTGCTTTTTGTTTTGTTTTTTCTAACAGGAAAATAGTACCAATGATTTACATGAATTTTCAAAATTAAATAAAAATATCTTTCCTGTCATATTTAAAATTTGACACTATCCCAATAATCTTTATTCTTGTTCTTCACTTGCGAATTTCTTTAAACGGATTGCAACAGCAACAATTCAATAAGTTTTATGATTTTAAACAAATCTTCACTGTGAAATAGAATATATTGATATTTGCTAATCGCAACCTAATTTTGGCACAATGCTACTAGTGTACTCAGCGAGAATCAAACTCCCTACTAATGATCTACAAGTCCAACTTATTGACCATTACGTCACAATGGTAATATATTTGCCTCTCTGAACTAAGAAATATTGCAGTACTTTTTCTGTATATAATCTCATTTTATATAATTTCCATTCATACACGGCACTCGTAGAGAATTAAAAACTGCCGAGTATTCTACTGAGGCAAATGCCTTTTCATAATCAAGAAAATATTAACAAAGTTGTTTGTTGTTTCCTTATTTTCTGATCGGTTGGTCTATTGTTATTGATAATCGTTGATATTATTTGAACAATCTATATATTTCCGGCAGCCTCGACAAGTAGTAATAGTTAAAGAGCTAATTTGATTGACCCTTATTACTGTGTAGTGATTGCAACCTTATCTAAAAAAGTAAAACTTGTAGCCTTGTGTCAGATCAAGTTAAGTTTAGCGTTAGATTTGCTTTCCTTTCTCTTCTCCAGTTAGTATGCACGTGTCTGGTCAGTCATATGACCCTCAACGATAAGCCAACCTAGCCCTTTTTTGACAGGGAGAACAGTCTTCGAGTAGACGCTGCTAAGAGAAAACGCATTCCTAATGCGTCGGTAGACACATCCGCTTGACAAAGGACGGGACCGAATTTACGAGTAAAGACAATTTTTGGAACTTGTTTTCGTTTTCTAGGTGGGAGAGAAGAACACATTTGTATATTTTGCTAAATTGATCTTCTTCGAGAAAATAAAAACTCCATTTATCTTTTTTTTTCTTCTTCTTCTTCTTCTTCTCTATGCCGGGTTCCTTCAGGACGTTGGCGATTATGGCTCTCCCCAGTTTCCTGTTATAGTTCTTAATAACGTTTGTCTTTTTGCCTTCTCTCCCAAGACCTGCTCCGCCATCCATTCGCTTGATAAGTAGGTTGCGTGTTGCTTTCCCTACTGTCTTGTGAGTATCAAATTTTCCAAGCCCTCTTTCCTCCTTATGTGCCCTGTAAATTCCAACTGGTGTTAGGTATTCCTTTGATTTCTATTTTCTCTAAAATTTCGCCGTTACTAACATGTTCGGTCCATTCTATTCTCAGCATCTTTTGTAGAACCATATCTCTGGTTCTTCAACTCTCTTACCTTCAAGCTGTCCTGTGAGTGTCAGATTTTCCGAGTCGTCTTTCCTCATTCCTAGAAATTTCAATTGACTCTTTCTGATTCTAAGTATCATTTTCCCTTACTAACATGCTTAGTCCATGGCATTCTCAGCATCCTTCTGTACAACCACATTTCTATTGTCAGATTTTTCAAACCCTCCTTCCTCATTACATGCCCCAGAAATTTCAACTTCCTCTTCCTGATGTTAAGTATAAGTTTCTTTTTTGTTTCCATTTTGTCTAAAAACCTTGTCGTTGTTCACATATTCAGCCCATAGTATCTTCAGCATCTTTCTGTAGAACCACATTTCTACTGCTTCAGGTCTCACATTTATCTGTGAAGAGATTGTCCAGCATTCACTGTCATACAAGAGGACAGATATCACGTAACAGTTCAGTATTCTTATCTGTGTTTCTAATTATATTTTCCTGTTTCTTTATACTTTGCTCAGCTTTTGGGAGGCATCTTTCGCTATCCCAATGTGCTTTCAAATTTCCGTGTCATACTTTCAGTCCTCTTTTAATATGCTTCTCAGATATCGAAATTGTTGCACCTGCCTGATTTTGGCATCTCCAATCTGTAATATCCAGGTTGGGCTGTTCCTTTTGCTAACAATTATACATTCAGTTTTCTTGCCATTGATGTTTAGTCCTTTCTTCTTGCTTTCCTTCGCTACCTTCTGTTGGAGTTCTGGTAGTTTCCATCATTTGCAGATCTTATGTTGTTAAGATATCATCTCCTTAGCCGTCTATATGCTTTCTACGCCGAAATACTTCAGGATCGCCCAACATGCATTTGATAAACTAAGAAAAATACCCAGTCTCTTCCCTGTTTGGTAATGGTTAACTGACACATTCTAGTTAGCCATAATTACTGTGTAGTAATTTGAATCTGAATCCATTTTTGCGACCATGAGTGAGACTAAGTTAAACTTAAATATAGTTTGGTTTGGTTTGTTTTACGGCATATCAACCTGAATAGGTTATTTAATGCCGACAAGATTTTTATTGCTGGTAATATTTTTTCTCAAAAATGTATTGCTGGTAATAATTTTTTCTCCAAAAATTTATTGCTGGTAATTTTTTATAAAAACGTATTGCTTTTATTAAAACCTATTTTTACACTTTCATTGTGTTTTGACCCTAGTTTGGGGGTTAACTATTTGCTCATAGCTGAGACCCTAACAGGCTCTACAACCCCGTGTCAGGGTGGACATGGAAACACCAGTAATTAAGAGGTGGTTCCACGCTTCTCAAAGCCTCCTGATGGGAGGTCATTCTGTTGGAGTTAGTTTATCGTTTTATCCAGGACGCCGGATGTAGTTTATCGTCTTACACAGAACGGTAAATAGTTATACATGCATCGTATGCATATAGTTGTTGGGTGAGATAAGGATATGGCTGCCATGAATGAAAAAGGATATGGCTGCCATAAATGAAAAAAGGATGTGGCGGCTATGAATAAAAAAAGGATATGGCTGCCATAAATGAAAATGGATATGGCTGCCATGAATGAAAAAGGATATGGCTGCCATAAATGAAAAAGGATATGGCTGCCATGAATGAAAAATGATATGGCTGCCATAAATGAAAAAAGGATATGGCTGCTATGAATAAAAAAAAGGATATGGCTGCCATGAATGAAAAAAGGATATGGCTGCCATGAATGAAAAAAAAAGATATGGCTGCCATAAATGAAAAAAGATATGGCTGAAAAAGGATATGGCTGCCATGAATGAAAAAGGATATGGCTGCCATAAATGAAAAAAGATATGGCTGCCATGAATGAAAAAGGATATGGCAGATATATAAATGGATAAAAAGGATATGGCTGCCATGAATGAAAAAGGATATGGCTGCCATAAATAAACATAAACTATGAAAAAAAAAGGATATGGCTGCTATGAATAAAAAAAGGGTATTGGCTGCCATAAATGAAAATGGATATGGCTGCCATGAATGAAAAAGGATATAGCTGCCATAAATGAAAAAGGGATATGACTGCCATAAATGAAAAAGGATATGGCTGCCATAAATGAAAAAAGGATATGGCTGCTATGAATAAAAAAAAGGGTATGGCTGCCATGAATGAAAAAGGATATGGCTGTCATAAATGAAAAAAGGATATGGCTGCTATGAATAAAAAAAAGGATATGGCTGCCATAAAAAAAAAAAAGGATATGCTGCCATAAATGAAAAAAATAAATGAATAAAAAAAGGATATGGCATAAATGAAAATGGATATGGCTGCCATGAATGAAAAGGATATGGCTGCCATAAAAAAAAGGATATGGCTGCTATGAATAAATGAAAAAGGATATGGCTGCATAAATAAAAAAAAGGAAATACCAAAATGAAAATGGATATGGCTGGCCATGCCATAAATGAAAAAAAAAAGGATATGGCTGCTATAATAAAAAAGGATATGGCTGCCATGAATGAAAAAGGATATGGCTGCCATAAATGAAAAAAAAGGATAAATGGCTGGCTGCCATGAATAAAAAAGGATATAAATGAAAAAAAAGGAAATGAAATAAAAAAAAAAGGATATGGCTGCCATGAATGAAAAAGGATATGGCTGCCATGAATGAAAAAGGATATGGCTGACATAAATGAAAAAAAAGGAAAATAAATGAAAAAAGGATATGGCTGCCATGAATGAAAAAAGGATATGGCTGCCATGAATGAAAAAAGATATGGCTGCCATAAATGAAAAAAGGATATGGCTGCCATGAATGAAAAAGGATATGGCTGCCATAAATGAAAAAAGGATATGGCTGCTATGAATAAATGAAAAAAGGATATGGCTGCTATGAATGAAAAAAAAAAGGATATGGCTGCCATGAATGAAAAAAAGGATAAAAAAAAAAGGATATAAATGAATAAAAAAAGGATATGGCTGCATAAATGAATGGCTGCTATGAAAAAAAAGGATATGGCTGCCATAAATGAAAAAATGAATGAAAATGGATATCGGCTGCCATGAATGAATGAAAAAGGATATGGCTGCCATAAATGAAAAAGGATATGCCTGCCAAGAATGAAAAAGGATATGGCTGCCATGAATGAAAATGGATATGGCTGCCATAAATGAAAAAAAGGATATGGCTGCTATGAATAAAAAAAGTATATGCCTGCCATAAATGAAAAAAGGATATGCCTGCCATAAATGAAAAAAGGATATGGCTGCCATGAATAAAAAAAGGATATGGCTGCCATGAATGAAAAAGGATATGGCTGCCATAAATGAAAAAGAATATGGCTGCTATGAATGAAAAAGGATATGGCTGCCATGAATGAAAAAAGGATATAGCTGAAAAAAAAAAAAAAAAAGATATGGCTGCCATGAATGAAAAAAGGATATGGCTGCCATAAATGAAAAAAGGATATGGCTGCTATGAATAAAAAAAAGGATATGGCTGCCATGAATGAAAAAGGATATGGCTGCCATGAATGAAAAAGGATATGCCTGCCATAAATGAAAAAAGGATATGGCTGCTATGAATAAAAAAAAGGATATGGCTGCCATAAATGAAAATGGATATGGCTGCCATAAATGAAAAAGGATATGGCTGCCATAAATGAAAAAGGATATAGCTGCTATGAATGAAAAATGGATATGGCTGCCATGAATAAAAAAAGGATATGGCTGCCATAAATGAAAAAAGGATATGGCTGCTATGAATGAAAAAAGGATATGGCTGCCATGAATGAAAAAAGGATATGGCTGCTATGAATGAAAAAGTGATATGGCTGCCATGAATGAAAAAAGTATATGGCTGCCAGAAATGAAAATGGATATGGCTGCCAGAAATGAAAAAAGGATATGGCTGCCAGAAATGAAAAAAAAGGAAACCGACGTGGAGACGTTTTTGGACTCTATCGAGACTGGAAAACGAGAACTGGGCAGCTTCCGGCCAAATATGGTAGCTGTATTCCATTTTAGGCCTGATCTGTCTCTTTTAAAGGTCGAGACGTACTCGAGCGGTACAGTGAACCGACCATTTTAGATGAGAGTATGAGATGTAAGTGGGTAGATGTCTTGTTTCAAAAATCAGCGCCAAATAAACGCAAAAAGACTGGCTCGGAGATTGAACTCTGTTCAATGATTTGGATTTATACGCCGAACAATCAGCGAAATAAAATAAATAAATAGAAAAGTAAATAATTGTGAAAAAGCCGATCAAAGGAGTGGATCGTGGAGTGGTTGGGAAGGTAGAGTAGAGACTGGCTTGCGAGGTTGTCTTCGTGGGAAAGAGACCGCCCACTGGAGAATACGGCTTCTCTCCCACAAGACCGCGTCAATGATTCAGAACTCTAAGACTAAAAAGAGATGATTGTGCAGTTCTAGCCCAACTATGGCACCATTAATGTCCCATTTTTGCTCTCAACTGATTCTTGCAGAGATAAAGTATGGCAGGAAGGAGTTTGGAACTTCCAGAAGCGATAGAATGAACCGACGGTTTTTCCAGTATCCTTAATAATAGATTGCATATTCATTTGCTATTGAGCTTTCATCTTAAGCAATACAAACGTCATTGGATTCCTCATAAGACTGGCCTGATATTCATTTAAAGATTAAAATGAGAATGGTTTATTATAATGTAAGTGTTGTAGAGTAGTTTTCACAGTGGAGGCTTGTATTTCACTAAGTCTGTCCTAAAGTGTCCGACGTACAAAATGTTAGGAACTTGAAATAATAGTTAATGACGCAGCAATCTACTTGTGGTGATTGATACTTCAATGTCCGACATCGACTGACTCACTCAACTCCACTGAGCCCAACTGGCGACCGCTACTACTACTACTACTACTTATTATGTGTGGGAGAGTCTATTACAATAGAATAGGTAATGTTCCGGTATAACAGTAAGTGACATAGTGAGTCCTAGACACAAAGATTAGAACTGGCGAAACCAAAGAATGCATTTCGTCCGACCAATTTCCATGGAAGTAGCGATAAAGGCTTGCCACATTCCGTTTGTAAGAAAGGGGTTGAACGGTGGGAAATAATTTGTCACCCACAAGGACTCAGAGACTCTTTTAGACTCTATCGAAACCGGAAAATAAGAACTGGACAGCTCCTGCCCAAATATGACTACGCCATTTTAAGCCTGATCTGGTCCTTGTAAAGGTAGAGGATAAGACGAGAAGTCAGGTCCTTACTGGAGCGGTACAGGGAACTGACCATTTTTTCCTGCAGCTTTATAAATAGATCGCATGTACGAGTTCCACTTGAGATCTGGGTTGAGTTTGAGGCCCAATAGGCAGGGGGGGGGGCTCCCTCAGAGAACATCCTAGTTTTCCATCACTGAGATGTTTGAGCTATATCGGAGGAGAAAATGGGTTGCTAATCTCTGGTCATCACAAGTTTTGGAGGTCCATCGATATCACGTTGTATCATCATATTTACAAATGATCGGAATTTTAACGCCTCTCTTTTCATCACCCTTTCTGCCTTCGATCAGTATGGCTGATGCTAAACCCCAGGAAAGTGACTCGTTAAGCCTTCTTGAGTTAACATTCTCTGCTACCATGGAGTGAAAAGATCATATTGAATCAACTTCTAGGACTGCTGCTAAGAAAGTTGATTCACTGTGGCGTGCTAGACTATTTTTCTTGCCAGAATCTATCTTACATATCTATAGGTCTACCATTCGTCCTTGTTTCGAATATTGCTGGCGCATATGATCTGGTGCTTCTGCTGTATATCTAGGGATCTACTCTCCTAGATCTTTCTTCAATAATGTAGGTGTCTCCCGGGGCTCTATCCTTGGTCCCACTTTGTTTTTAATTTTCAATTACCGACCATCCTGATGACATCAGCTATCAACTTGCTATCTGTGCAGATGACACAACCATTTACTCATGTCTCGATACTTAGTCTGATCAGTTCGTTCAGGTCAAATTGGCTGCTGATCTCACAAACTACCGACAGTCTATTGTTAACTAGGGCAAAAAATGGCTTGTTAATTTTAATGCCTCTAAAACTGGGCTACTCCCTGTTAATCATATGAGGAACTCCTCTCTACCTTCCATCAGAATGGCTGATGCTTACCTCTAGAAGAGTAACTTCTCGGGTTAACGTTCTCGGCTGTCATGAAGTGGAAAGACAACATTGAATCCATTGCTAGGTCAGCTGTTAAGAAAGTTGGTTCTCTCTCTCCAGAATCTATCATACATATCTATAAGTCTACCATTCGCTCAGGCTTAGAATGTTACTGATACATATGCCCTTGATATTTATTTTGAGATTCTGGAAAAAGAAAAATCAGCAATATTATGAGCGCCTCAGCTTCAGTCATTTTCCTGTCGCGATAAAGTTGCTTTCTTCTACCTTTTCTATAAATATGTTCATGCTAATTTTTCGGATGAGCTCTTTGCTATGGTACCTAGACATTATGAATTTAAATGCAATATTAAATTGGCAACAAGGTCTCATCAATTTACAGTTGAATTGGTTATATGTAACCGTAGTTTCTTTTCCCGGACATCTCGACTGTGGAAGTCTCGTCCGGATCCATGCTTTACGGCCAACTTTGATCTTCAAATATTTTAATGCAATCTCAATCGTCATCTACTGTCTTCCTGATTACTCTTCTATTGTTCTCTCTCCATAATGTTTTCTGTTTTCCAATTCTTTCGCACCCAGTAACCTCTTGCGTCTTAGTGGCTTTGTTGCTTTGTTTGGGGTAAAATGTATACTTTTATGCAGCTCATTTATGAAAATAAAAAGACGGCAACTCTTGGTGGACGCGTGTGTTGATTGCTAGGACTCTCGGGTACTGGCCGTTAAGAACTACTTTCAGAGACCTAACCGTTAGAAAGGACTTTATGACAGAGAAGACTCTTCCAGTGATTCCATACTTGAGTGCTTGAGAAGTAAATCGTTGTGCCACACATTTTCAAAAGCCTTTGAAATATTTAATGATATGGTCCTTAGATGTATTTGTTGTCTAGAGCCTCCTTGATTCTGGAAGTAATGGTAGTTAGGACATCAGCAGTGGATCGGGTCAATCGAAACCCGTACTGTTCGTCGCACAAGACGGTGTTTTTATTTAAGTGCTCAACTTATTGTTGATTATAGCCCCAAAAAGCTTGCTAATGACACCGAAGAAACTGATGGGTCTATACTGAGAGGAGGATGAGCACTCGCCCGCGTTCTTGAGAACCGGGCATATTCTGGACACCTTCTACAAACTTTGGGAAGATTTCTCCTTCAAGCAGCAGTTACATAATTTCACTAAAAACGGCTCGGAATTGAACAGTAGTGGGAAAATGAATGACAAAATGGAAAACAATTAAAACAAACTAATAATATTATCATATCATTATCAAAACAATTCCTCTGTATGCTTATTAATGTGCTATGGCAGGTAGTTTGGAAATTTTGAAGCACTATTTTAAACTGGGCGTCAAAGACGTTGACGCTGTTTCCAGAATCCGCCAATTGAAAGTGTTGATGTTTTAAAGATAATGGCTTATCCTTTTAAATAACACCCAGAAGAAGACGACCGCCAGTTGTTGATTATGATGTTTTAAAATGTAAGGCATAGAAGGACCTAACTGCCAACACACGAAAACCTTTAAGAAAATCAAGGGTCAACGAAAGATAATATTTTTAGAGTATTAGACAATTTAAAATAAAAACAAACAACTCTAAGAGGTTCGAAATTGATTAAAAAATGAAAATACTTTTGATACACCCTAATAAATAACAACGCACCTGCCACTTTAAAACTCTTTGACGAAACGACATTTCAAGATAAACAAATAAACTACTTGTTTGTCACTGTCCTTCAGATTTGCTTACCCTGCAGTCTCTCTCTCTCTCTCTCTATATATATATATATATATATATATATATATATATATATATATATATAGATACGTACAAAGACAGACACATATATATATATATATATATATATATATATATATATATATATATATATATATATATTCGCCTCCGAGTAACAACTTTCAAGTTGTTTGTTATTTAAATAAACCTGCTAAAACTGTTCAAAAGAAATATTCAAGGCGGGTAAAAATCAGGTTTTACGTGCGTTTATTTGGAAAAAGAACTTAACATTCGTGACTTCTGTGGAAGAAAAACATTTTCTGGAAGATTTAAAAATACAACATTTGGAAAAGTAAATTCCAACGTTTAATATTTGTATTTAATTCTTTTTATTCTGATATGATTTTATTGTTCAGATTGAATAACTTCTCCCAAGTGTCTTG